AGAGTCACACCAATTACAGCCCCGCTGTGAACATATTAACCCTCCTGGGAAGGGGGCTGTGGAGGACAGAGGGTCTAGAAATAGGCCAGCATCAGGCTGCAGAATATGGAAAGGCACACTGGCATCCACTGTATCCCTCTCTCGGTTTTTGTGTACACTTAAAAATCTTCAAAATAAAAAGGTAAACACCTAGACAACCAATAGTATTCTTCACAGAACTGGAAAAAAAATCCTAAAATTCACATGGAACCAAAGGTGACACAAAATAGCAAAAGCAGAAGGCATCACAATCCCAGATTTGAAGTTATATTTTACAACTACAGTGATAAAAACAGCATGGTGCTGGCACAAAAGTAGATATGAGGATCAATGAAACAGAAAAACAGGATCCAGAGACAACCATAAACACATTCAAATATTTTAACAAAGAGGCCAAAAAAAACATACTGGAGGAATGAGAGCTTCTTTAATAAATGGTACTGGGGAAACTGGCTATTTACATGTAGATTCAATCTAGATGCCTATTTTTCACCATGTAATAAACATATTAAAATGGATCAAAAACTAAATGTTAAAACAGAAACACAACCTACTGGAAGATGAAATAGGTAAAACTGTTGAAATCATAAGCACTGGCAGGTATTTTCTGAATGGAACCCTTGTTTCACAGGAAATAGTACCAAGAATAAAGAAATGGGATCATATTAAATCAAAGTTTCTGTACAGCCAAAGAAACAACCAAGAGAGTGAAGAAACAACCTACAGAATGGGAATCTTGCATAATACCACTACATCAGCAGTGCTCTTTCCTACAGAATGGGAAAAAACTTTTGCCAACTATTCCTCAGACTGAGGGCTAATATCTAGAACAGTGATGGTGAACCCATGGCACACATACTGCAGTGGGCTGTCTCTATCACTGAAAATTCTAAAAGGTTCACAATCACTGATCTAGAACATATACAGAACTAAAAAATGAGACCTCCCCTAAAAACAAAAGGCCCAGTCAAAAAGTCAGCAAGTGAAATGAACAGACACTACAAGAAGTACAAATGACCAATAAATATATGAAAAAATGTTCAACATTGCTGGCCACTAGAAAAATGCAAATTAAAGCAATACTGAGTTTCTTTCTTACCCAGAAAGAATGGCCATCATGAAGAAATAAAATAACAACAAGTACTGGTAAGGAAATAGGGAAAAAGGAATCCTTCTACACTGTCAGTAGGAATGTAAACTAGTACAACCACTATGGAAGTCAGTATGGAGATTGTTCAAAAAAACTTAAACTAGAAATCCCATTTGATCCAGCCCATCCCCTTCTAGGTATCTTCCTGAAAGAGTTGAAGATATCATACTATAGTGGTACAAGCATACCCATGTTTATAGCACCATAATTCATAAATAGCTATATCATGGAAGTAGCCGATATGTCCATTAACACATGAATGAATAAAGAAAATGTGGTGTTTATATACAATGGAGTACCACTCTGCCATAAAGAAAGATAAACTTGAGTCATTTGTAAGAAAATGGATGCATCTTGGGACCATAATGTTAAGTGAAATAAGTCAGATACACAAGTTTAAATATTGCAGGATCTTTCTTATATTGGAAACCCAAAATATCAATAAAGAGCAAAACAAAAGATAGGAAGTAGGGAGATAGAGCTTCCTC